AAAAAACACTTTTCACAACAGCACCCCCAAAACTAAAATACCTAGGAATCACTCTAATGAAGGAAATAAAAAACCTCTACACTGAAAACTACAGTACTTTGCAAAAGGAGATCAAAGAGGATATCAGAAAATGGATGATATCCCTTGGTCTTGGTAAGAAGAACTAATGTAGTGAAAATGGCCGTACTTCCAAAACTGTTACACAGATTTAATATAATTCCAATCAAAATTCCAACAACATTATCTCACAGAATTAGAAAAAACAATCCTAAAATTTGTTTGGAACCCAGAGAGACCTGGAATAGCAAAAGCAATTCTAGTCAACAAAAGCAAGGCAGGGGGAATCATAATTCCTGACCTCAAATTATACTACAAAGCTCGCCGTACTTCCAAAACTGTTACACAGATTTAATATAATTCCAATCAAAATTCCAACAACATTATCTCACAGAATTAGAAAAAACAATCCTAAAATTTGTTTGGAACCCAGAGAGACCTGGAATAGCAAAAGCAATTCTAGTCAACAAAAGCAAGGCAGGGGGAATCATAATTCCTGACCTCAAATTATACTACAAAGCTCCTGTGATAAAACCAGCAGTGCACTAGCAAAAAAAAAAAATGTGGGATCAAAGAAAAAAAAAAAAAAAAAAAAAAAAAAAAAAAAAAAAAGACCCAAGAATCAACAGAACAAATTGGAAAATGCAGAAACAACTCCAGAAACACTCAGCCACCTTGTCTTTGACAAAGAAGCCAAACACCTTCACTGGAAGACAGCTTCTTGAATAAATGGTGCTGGAAAAACTGGCTTTCTACATGTCCAAGATTGAAACTAGACCTGTATCTTTCACCAGGCACTAACCTAAAATCAAAACGGACTGAAGATCTAAATATTAAAACAGAAACACTTAATCCGCTGGAAGACAGAATAGGTTGAATTCTCAAAGACACTGGTAAGACTTTACGAAAAAACCCTCATCTCACAGGAATTATTACAAAGAATCAACAACTGGGATCTTATCTTACTAAAAAGCTTCTGTACAACAAGAGAAACCACCAACATAGTGAAGAGATAACCCACAGTGTGGGGAAAAAATTTTGGCAGCTATTCCTCAGACAAAAAAGAACTCAAAAAATCAAACCCCAGACCAATCCAAAAATAGGCATATGAAATAGACAGACATTTCTCAGATGAAGAAGTAAAAATGTCACAGAAATATACGAAAAAATGTTCAACATCACTGGTCATTAGAGAGACCCAAATTTAAAAAGGGCTGAGATTCCATCTCACACCAGAAAGAACAGCTGTTATGAAGAAATCAACCAATAACAAATACTGGAGGGGCTGTGGGGAAAAAGGAACCCTGCTCCACTCACTGTTGGTTGGAGTGCAGAGAGATGCAACCACCATGGAAATGAATGTGTAGATTCCTCAAAGAACTAAAACTAGAGGTTCTACTTGACTCAGCTATTCCCCTTCTTGGTATCTTTCTGAAAGAATTTAAAAGCATCAAACCACAGCAACATATGCAAACCCATGACTATAGTGGCAGAGTGTGTAATAGTTAAATCTTGGAAACAGCCCAAATGCCCATCAAGTGAAGAATGGATAAAGAAATGTGGGGTTTTTTTTTTTACTACAATGGAATACTACTCTGCCATAAGGAAGGATAAGTTTGAGACATTTCTAGCTAAATGGATGAAACTTGAGACCATATTCTTAAGTGAAATAAATTAAACACACATTTAAATACTGCATTATTTCTCAGGTGTGAGAAATTGAAAGTATAAATAAGGACCAAAATGTATAATAAATATTAGGAAATGGGAGGAAAATGTTGAACTGAGAAGGGGAACAAGGGAAAGGAAAGGAAGGAAGGAAAGAAAGGACAAGAAAAAGAGAATAGAAGAAAAAACAGAAACAAAGCTTTGTAAATAAGGAAAGGAAGAGAGGTTGAAGGAAAGGGGGAATGGGAAAAAAATAAGCAAGATATATCACATACAGTTATAAATTACATGTTATCATTGTGTATTTCTAAAAACATACCAATAAATGTTTTGTTTTCAAAAAGAAAAAAAAAAGTGAAAAACAACAACAAAACTTCACTACAGTGAAACTGGGGCCACTGAGGAGAAAAAAAAAAAACCTGGCAAGAAGCATGTAGAGTTTTCTACAATAAATTCTGGAATGGAGGTTCCAGAGAGACCTCTCTCACTTTAAATTCTGCTCTCAGATGGGAATGTCATGGCAAGGCTCTAGCATATAACTTTACGAGTTAGTCAATATGCATTTAAAATTCCTAGTCTACCCTAGTGAACGTAATCATGTACTGCAAACGTACCAATAAAAACTTTTTTAAATTAAAAAATAAATCCCTAGTCTATTCTACCACTATCTCTGGGCACAAAAACCTTAAATCAAAGTTAGAATAGTTTCTTACTTAGAAGTAATTTTTTCAAAGGAACAGTCATGTTCATTTAAGGAACATAACAGTTGTGAGTATGTTATGATTTATTATCACAACATTACTGTAGATTTTACAACACTGCCTGGCATGAGGTCCAGGCACAGGAAGATTACAGTCTGCAACATTAGCCTTTGCTTTAACTCTCAGGCTGGGTACATGGGGTGCAGAACAGTTCCCTTCATTCCAGCTGGCTTCTGGTGTCCTGGCTCAAAAGGCCATCTTGAGTCCTTATGCCAGTTATGACAATTCCCTCACTAAAAGCTACTTTGATTCTGCTGGGAGACTAACTCCTGTGTTTTCATAGCCCTTGACCAAAAAGACTCAAGGTCTCCTTACACAAATGGAGAGAGGCCCAGAGTCAGCGACCTTAAGGATAGCACCAGTTACACTGGCTGGGGAGGTATTGCTGTGTTGTGCTTACATCTCTATGATGTGTTTGGGGACTCTGCTTAGCTACAGACAGCACATTATTATGCAAATTTTAGCAAAGCCTAAATGTTGGAACAAGAATTTCATTGCTTTCCTGTATGGGGCTGTAGGCCCCCAGCAGTGGCTGCTGTGCTGTATCACAAAATGCACAACGAGAAGCAGGCAGAGAATTGTATTACATGTCTAATTCACCTACACAGGATTGATCCTTGTGCTCCAAATGCAGTACTGTATGGATAAATGGGCTATAGCTATGCTCTTCTTTTTGTCAGTAAGAACTTTGAAGTGGAAAAAATTCTTCAAAGCCATACTCAGCAGATGTGTGAAAACCTAGATAGAAAGAGGCATTTCAAAGCAAAGTCTCCACTGATGTATTAATGGTACCAGGAATATTATGTGGCCCGGCAGGAATCTATTACTACATAATGCAGCTCAGCTTTCAAATGAGCCAAGCGAGGTCACAGAGTTTGGTCAAGCCCAGCACAGACTTTGCCTGATAGCTGGCAATTATCCAGCATGTCTGGATGATAACTGAGACCTGCTTGTCCACTGGTGCTTCAGCACCACTGGGTAATCTATATGTTCACACACGCCTCTGAGGTTTTCAGAGAGGAACACAATCTCAGCAATGACTATTTCTCATTGGAGAACACAGATGCAGGAAGCAAGTGCCCCTTTCTCCCTCTTTGGAGCAATGACTCAAACAATAAATTTCCTGGGCAACCTGCGAGTCCTCATGAAAACTAGGTTCCTTCCATTTGAAGGTAAGAAGAAAGCAGGCCCCTATAACTTATACCAGAAACCTTTCTGAAAATTCAAACTTGGGATAAGGGCTTTGTTGCTATTCAAAGCAAAAGAATCAAAATATTTTTTTAAATAACCTAGTATGTTTCTGTACTATTTACTTAAAAAAAATGAACATGTTAAAGAATGTAACACAGGGGCTGGGGATTTGGCTCAGTGATTCTACCACATGCCTTACAAGTGCAAGGGCCCAAGTTCGATCCCAGGCACCAAAAAAAAAAAAAAAAAAAAAAAAAAAAAAAAAAAATCTAGTGAATTAACTATGATTCTAGAATTGGCAAATGACATTCAATAGTCCACTATGGTCATACAAAACTGAGAAGCAATACACCCTGGGACACGTTCTCCTTGATGTGCCCAGCAGGGATAGAAACACAGAAAACTTAAAATAAATTGTCAGCTGAGCAGAATGACGCATGCCTGAGTCCCAACACTCAGGAGGCTGAGGCAGAAGGATCAAGAGCTGAGGCCAGCCTAGCCTACAGAATGAGTTCAAGGCCAGCCTGAACTACAAAGCAAAACCTTGTCTCAAAACAAAAAAGGTCAATCTATCAGAAAATGCAAGACCACAGAGATAGCTACACCAGTCTCCTCAGGGCCAAATAGCAAAAAGAAGTACTCCAGAATCCCTGGAATGAACCAGTGGCATATGCCTATCATTCTCACCCTCAGGAGGCGGAGGCAGAGGATCAAGAGTTCAAGGCCAGCCTAAGCCAACCTAGTACACCCCTGTGCCCAAGTTTAAAACAAAACTCAGCACTTGGGAGGCTGAGGCAGAAGGGTCACCACTAGTTCAAGACCAGCCTAGACTACATAGGCCCTATCTTAAAAACAAAAGGGATGGAGCCAGGGATTTAGTTCAGTGGTTCTCCTGCCTACTTTGCAAGCTCAAGGACCCAAGTTTGATCCCCAGCACCAAAGGGGGGTGGTGGTGGAAGCACAGCCCAGTGGCAGAGCACTTGCCTAGCATGTACGAGGCCTGGAATAGTCCAAAAGCAGGTTCAACTTAGACACCACTCATCAGTGACCAGATTTTAAAAACATGAGTTTCTTAACTGTGAAAATCATGGACTTTTCAAAAGGAAGGAAAGTAACACGACTGGGCAGGAAGCTTGCGTGCATCTCTACTAGCTCATTTTCTTTCCCCTGACATCTTAACGGCCTAGCCCTGGAATGAGAACACCATGTTATACTCCTGTGAAGTTCTGCCAGCATCCTTTCTATCAGAGTAATAAAGGTTGCATTTAAAGAGCAACAGTAGGTGAGAGCTCAGAGCCCTGAAATAGTACCTTGACTACTTACAGGAGTTATGCCGACGACGGAAGCCTTTGGACTGACTCAAGGGCTCCATGTGCCTGTCCACATAGCTCTTGGAGCACTGCTGCTGCTGGGGAGAAACGGCAACATCCTGGCTCTTCACATCTGTCCTCTTAGGGATGTTCTGAGGGGCACTGCTAGAAGAAGTCAGCTTCTTGACCAACTTGCCTGTGCCATTCTGACTGATACCCACTTGGCACCCAACAGCAGAGGGACCTAATTCTGTCTGATGAGGATCTCCAAAATGGTGGTTGTCTCCAGGACCTGGTATCTCCAGTATTTTTAGTTCTGTGATATCACCTGCCCTGAAATACACAAAGAGTCCAGGTCTTAAAATTGTACTAATAAAAAAGATGAAATGAGGATTTGTAGAATTGCATTTCAGTGACTTAGGAGAGGCAAAATTTAAGGCAGGTGGTGGAGCATTTAAAGAGTGGACTTAGTCACTAACATTCAACTTACATAGTATGGTCTTAAAGAGACTACTGTTAATAACAAAGCTACATTATCACCTTAAGACTTCCAGAATCGATGATGGCTTTTTCATTCATTTATTTACCTATCACTCAACAGGAATGAGGAGAGTACATACTTTAGGGGAAAGGCCTCGTGCTAAGAACAGGATATACAGAGATAAAAATCAGTATGCGTCAATAAGAAACTCACAGTCTGGTTAGTGGAAAACACAACTACATAATCAATCAAGTCTTAAGGGCCACAAGAAATGTCAGCATAAGGTCCTAGAGAGTCTAAAAATAAAATACCTAACCTAGTTTGGTAGATGTAACACATCAGCTAAGTCTGAGGTGAGGATGAGGGGTACAAGAGCTGGCCAAGTAGAGGACAGCAGGAAGAAGGGCAATTACTGGCAGAGGTTCTGAGCCTAGAAAAACATGAAAATGTGAGGAAGGGGAAATGCTATGGCATTATGAAGGGAAGGATTCTTGTAAAGGGCCACCAGAAAGTGAGGGTCTGGAGGTAACCAGGGGGCAGACCCTGGGCATGATGGATTTTTCTTGTGTCAATAGGAAAGGTGGAGAAACTAGAAGCAGGGGGCACCATTCAGCAGACCCAGCAAGAAGCAGGAAGAGACAAACGAGGCCAATGACAACCCAAAGAGAGAAGGGAGGATATACCAAGGGACATCCTGAATACACAGGATATAGTGATTAACTGAAATGAGGACTAAGGAGAAAGAAGCTTATTATGACTCCTAAACTCCAAACTTGGGTAAAGTTACCAATAATGGGTAAACCTCTGGAAGAAGAAATCGGAAAACCTTGAATTTAAGATGTCTTGTAGCGTACCCAACTGGAAATTACCAGTAGAAAATAAAAGCATACAGAGGTCAGACAATAGGCCTAAATTGAAGATAAAAATGTAAGGTCACATTATGTATGAGAAAGTACACATGAAACTGAGCTAATTCAAGGGCTGGGGATTTAGCTCAGTGGTTCTGCCACCTGCCTCACAAGTACAAGGACCCAAGTTCGATACCCGGTACCAAAAGAAACTGAGCTAATTCAGAAAGATGATAAAGTTAGAAAAAATATAAGGAGAGGCTAGAGAATGAAGCCACAGAAGTGGACTGTTTTGGTTCGACAGGATCTGCAGGCACAAAGATAAGGGAATAACAGCCATACCTAGTGCAGAAGCAAGATGGGAGCCACACCTAATGCAAAAGCATGAGGGAGGCCAGGGAATGTTAGAATGCAGAAAGACAATACAAAGACTGAAGAAACAAGAGATGGAGGAAGTATCAAAGGAGGTAGAAAGAGACAGTATTTAAAGCACCCATGGACACAGGAATACATCTAAAGACTGCAGAGTAGGTCAGCAATAAGAAGGAGTACACCCACAGAAAGGTTACAGTGCATGTGCAGGGAAGGAACCACTCATAACCATCAAAGCAGCTCCTGCCTGACAGCCTTTCTTTATGTATGTTAGCATAGGAGGCTGTCTACTGAATGCAGTGACACACACCTGGAATCACAACTATTCTCAGGTAGGTGGACTGCTAGTTCAAGCCCAGCATGGGCAACACAGTGAGATGTTGTCTGAAAAATTAAAAAGGGGTAGGGAAATATCCTAGTGGAACAGCGCTCCTGAGTTCTATCCCCAGTACTACAAGAAAAAAAGTGAATTTGACATCAACTGACAGATACTAAGGTCTCAAACTAAGGACTTTAGCTATTGGCTACAGTGTGTTTCTAGGGATAAATTACAATATGTACAAATCTACAAAGACACATTTACACAGGTGAAAAAATAAGGACTTTCAATGTGTGAAAGTACAAATAAAACAGAACTGAGGAAGAAAATGAAAATTATAGGCGAAAGCTTATGCTAAACTTAAATCACAATGAGGTATAGTGGTACATGCCTGTCATCCTGGCAAGTTAACAAGATCTTATCTTTAAAATTTTTAAAATGGGGCAGGGGTATAGTTCAGTGGTAAAGCATCCTTGGGTTCAATCCTCAGTACAACATGAAAACAAACAGGTTTTACAAACCCTGAGTGATTAGCTGAAAGCTAATTACAACCCTGCTGCTCTGGTTTAAGATTGAAGACTGCAAAAATCTTACAATCAACAAGACTATACTCAAAAGCAGCCTCATCCCAGAGAATCAGACCCTGGTTCAAGCACCACTGAGGAGTCAGGACTCTCACCTGAAGGTGACTTCAGGCACAAGACACTTCACTCCATTGTGGAAAGGCCGGGTGAGGGAAATGGTCTGGCTGACCTGGTCCACCGCTGACACTCTTCCTTGGTAGACACCCAAGCTGTCTCCACAGTTGATGGACACAATACTGCCCAGCCAATCCGTAGCCATGTTTCAGACGTGGGACTACCGTCAAAAAGCAGAACCACACAGGGCACCTTGAAAAACAGACACATCTATAATTGAACTCAGAAAATGTCAGGTTCTGTACCATGTGTTGCTTAATAATACATACTCTGTCACAACCTTAACTGATGTAATAAAACATTAAAAAATCTTTCTCAAGGGCCGAGGATTTAGCTCAGTGGTGCCGCTGCCTGCCTGGCAAGCACAAGGTCCAGAGTTCAAACCCCAGTACCAAAAAAAAAAAAAAAAAAAAAAAAAAAAAAAAAAAAAACTTTCTTGTGAACACACATATTAATGAGCAATATTACTTAAAACAAAGATTCTGTAACTCTTTAACCTGAATGTAAGGTAACATCGACCAATCGGGCATGGCCACTACTTGGGAAGCTGAGGCAGGTGTATCACAAGTTCAATACGAGCCTATATGATTTAGCAAGATCCTGTCTCATAAAAAAAACAGTAATGGCCAGGCATGATGGCACATGCCTGTAATCCCAGCACTCGTGAGGCTGAGGCAGGAGTGAGTTCAAGACCAGCCTGGGCTACACAGTGAGTTCCAGGTCAGTCTCAACTACATAGTGAGATCCTGTTTCAAAAAAAAACAAAACAGAAGCTGGGTGTTGTGGCACATGCCTGTAATCCCAGCACTCTGGAGGCTGAGGCAGGAGGATCGCTGTGAGTTTGAGACCAGCCTGGGCTACATAGTGAGTTCCAGGGCAGTCTCAACTACATAGTGAGACCCTGTCTCAAACAAAACAAAAAACAAAACAAAACAAACAAAAACAGAAATGACTGAGAATGTAGCTCAATGCTTTCAAAGAGAATATGTAACCAATAAATAATGTTAATGATAAATTTTGGTTTTATTTTTGGTACTGGGGATTGAACTCAGGTCCTTGTGCTTATGAAGCAGGTGGCAGAACCACTGAGCTAAATCCCTGGCCCTAATAATGATAAATTTTGAACCAAAAAGTTAACTGAAAACATATAGAACATGATACCTAACAAATGCACAATACACATTCTTTTATAGTGCACAGAAAATGTTCACTAACATACAGTGGCCCTTAAACAAGAGTGAATAAATTTCAAATGACCAAAATCAGAGTATATTCTCTGTCCACAAGAGAATTAAATTTGAAATTGAAGCCTGGCACAGTGGTGGACACCTGTAATCCTAGCAACTCAGGAAGCTAGGGCAGGACTACAAGTTCAAGGCCAGCCTGTGTAACTTAATAAGCTCCTGTCCCAGAATTAAAAATGAGAAGGGGTAGGGGTATAGCTCATTGATAAAGTACTTGGGTTCCATCCCAAGTACCAAAAAAAAAGGTAACTAAGATATTTACAATTTCTACATATTTGAAACTTAAGCAAGAGATTTCTAAATAACTTATTAGTCAAGAAGAAATCAAAAGGGAGCAGGACATACTGGTGCATGCCTGCAATCACAGTACCCAGGAGGCTGAGGCAGGGGGATTACCATGAGTGAAAGGCCAGCTTAAGCTACATAATGATCTTGTCTCAAAAAACAAAACAAAAATGCTATAAATTCCTCATCAAAATACCAGCCAGTGGACTCCAACAATAAATAAAAAGAATTATACACCATGAGCAGATGAAGTTTATTCCAAGAATGCAATGTTGGCTCAATATTAGAAATCCAATCAATGTAATCTACCATATTAACAGGGCTAAAGTTAAAAAAAAAAGTCTATGATCCTAAGCAACTGATGCAAATAAGCATCTGACAAAATTCAATACCCACTCAGGATTTAAAAACAAAAAACTCAGTCAGACACCTGCCTGTAATCCCAGTCCTTTGGGAGCTGAGGCAGAAGGATCACAAGTCCAAGTTCCACCTGGGCAATTTAACCAGACACTGTCTGAAGATTAAAAAAAAAAAAAAAAAAAAAAAAAGGGACGGGGGATGTAGCTTAGGGTAAGGTGCCTCTGGTTTGGTCCTCAGTACTACACACACACAAACACACAAAAACAGCATCTCAGAAAAATGAAAATTGAGGGGATTTTCCTCAATTTGATAAACAGTATATATGGGCTGGGGATTAGCTCAGTGGCATCATGCCTGCCTGGCAATCGCAAGGTTCTGAATTTGATCCCAGGTACAGCAAGAAAAATAAAGTATATAAATAAACCCTACAGTTACTATTATATTTAATGGTAAAAGACTGAATGCTTTCTCTTTATGATCAGAAACAGGCCAAGGATGTCCACTAATCACTTTTATTCAACACAGCACTGGATGTTCTTGCAATAAGGCAAGAAAAAGAAATAAAGGGCATATTGATTGGAAAGGAAAAAACAAAACTGTATTTGCAGAAGATGTGATTAGCAATGAACACATAGACACTGAAATTTAAAAATACAGTACTATTTATTGGCTGGGGATTTACCTCAGTGATCTGCTGCCTACCTCACAAGCACAAGGACCCAAGTTCAATCCCCAGTACCAAAAAAAAAAAAAAAAACTATTTATAATTGCTTTTAAAAGGAAATGCTAAAAGTAAATCTAACAAACCATGTACAGGATTCTTAGATGAAAACTGTAACACTGACCCAAAAAAATCAGTGTTGTATGGCTAGGTATATCATGTTCATGGACTGAAAGATTCAATGTAGCAACTAATCATTTTCCTCAAATTGGTATAGAAAATCAATGCAATCCCTATCAAAATCCTAGCACAATTTGTTGTAGGTATAGACAAGATCATTCTAAAATTCATACACCTGACTCTGGATTCGTATCTACAGTAACCAAACATGTGGTAATAGGGGAGGAACAGACATATAAATCAATGAAATACAATAGAACCCAGAAATACATAAATATGCTCAAGTGATTTTTTTATGAAGTACAAAACACAATGTAATACAAACAGTAGAGGCTTTACAACAAAGTATTGGAACAAATGGAAGTCAGCAAAAAACAACAACAAACCTCAACCTAAGTCTTATACCTCATACAAAAACTTATTCAAACTGGACTTCATGAAAAACATCATTATACCATTATGTACTTTTCAAAAAGGCAAAAATACTGACAACATCAAGTGCTATCAAGAATGTGAAAAAACCGAATTACTCATAAGTTGCTGGAAGAGGAATAAAGTGGTGAAAACAGGCTGGAAAACAAATTGGCAGTTTATTAAAAAACCTAAACATGCATCTACTATATGACCCAGAAACTGTACTCCTGGCTATTTAATTCAAAGAAAGGAAGATAAGCTCACACAAAAACCTGGGCACAAATTATATCAGGCTTACTCATAATAACCACAAATGCAAACAACCCAGATGACCTTTAACAAGTAAACAGTTACAAACTGGTATATCCCTACTAGGAGAGAGAAAAGTAAAAAGCCAATCTCCAAAGGACACATTCTATACCATTACATTTGGTTAACATTCTTGAAATGACAGTTATGGAAACAGAGAGCAGCTCCATGGTTCCAGCAGCTAAGGAAGTCTTGAGTTGAGAGGGAAACAAGCATTACTTTAAAAGTCTAAAAGGCCAAGCATGGTGGCAAACCCCTGTAATCCCAGCACTCAGGAGGCTAAAACAGGAGGACCACAAGTTCGAGACCAGCCTGGGCTACATAGTGAGTCTAAGGCCAGCTTGAGCTATATAGTGAAACCCAAAAGAAAAAAAATGGAAGGGATCTCTGTGGTGATGAAAATGTGGTGCATCTTGACTATAGCAATGTCGATATCCTTGTGATGATACTGTACTCTAGTTTCACAAGACATTACCAATGGGGGAAACCACACAGCATATATGCAATCCCTTTGCACTGAAAACCTACAACTATCTCAAAACATTTTAATTAAAGACTCTAACACATATTAACAAAATAACAGGAAATCATGTAAAATTGTATCAGTAAATGCAAGAAGGCAATTTTAAAAATTCAATACTCATTCATGATACTGCAAAAGTGAGAGCAGGCCAGGAGTTAGCTCATTGGCACCACGCCTGCCTCATAAGCACAAGGTCCTGAGTTCAATCCCTAGTATAAAAAAAAAAAAAGTGAGAGAGGCTCAGCATCTACAAAACAATTACAGCTACCATCATACTTGATGATGAAATAATTTCTCCCCAAAAAACTGGGGATAAGGGTATCCATTCTTATCACTTCTACTTCTATTAAACTTACAATGGAGGTCTTACCCAATGCAATAAAAGAAAAATAAAAAGCGTAAATATTAGAAAAGTAAAACTATTCTCTGTAACATGATTGTGTAGAAAATCCTAAAGAATGTGTGTACATGCACACACACGTGCACACACACACTAGACTAAATGAATTAGCAAGATCACAGGCTAAATGACTACTGTAGAAAAACTAACTGTATTCTACATTGTAACAATAATTGAAAATAAAATTTTTATTTATAATAGTATTTAAAACATTAAATCTTAGAATTAAACCTAATAAAAATTTGTAAAAACTCTACAACAAAAACTGTCAAAAGATTGCTAAAAAAAAAATATTAAAGATCTAAACAAAAAGATTAATGGATTGCTGGATCAAATACTGTGATGGTTTGGGTCTAGACGTCCCCTCAAAGTCTCATAGGTGGGGCTTTTTCAGAGGAGGTTGGATTTAGAGTAAGTGATGCTGGGACTAAGGGTGTGTGATTAGTAAATCACTCCACTGATTGGTTTGGCACTACCCTAATCCCAGTAGCCTGGATACAATATAAGGGACAGAACGAGATTTATCCTCCCCCTTGTTGCTTTTGCTGTCTCTATCTGCAAGGAACTGTTTCTCCATGCCACCCTGCCTTGGAGCCAGGCAATTATGGATTGAAACCTCTACAAACTGTGAGCTAAATAAATCTTTCCACCTTTAGCTCTATATCCCAGGTATTTTGTCTGAGCAACAAGAAAAGTAAAGACAAATACCTATCAAAATGCCAAATGAGGGCCAGGGATTTAGCTCAGGGGCACTGCGCCTGCATCACAAGTGCAAGGTCCTAAGTTCGATCCCTGGTACTGAAAAAAAGGCAGGAAAAAAAGCCCCCGAGGGGCTGGGTTGTATGTAGTTTGCTGGAAGAGTACATACTTATCATATGAGAGACCATGGGATCAATTCCCAGCACAACTTCCAAAATATCCCAGCTGACATTTTTGAAGAAATTGAAAAATTGATTCTAAAATACATACAGCACAATTATTTTGTTTGTTTATACTGTCACCCCACAATAAGGCAAAGAAATTTGTCTGTCTTCAGCCAACAAGAGTGTCTACAATGGAAGAATTCAACAAACATTTACTAAATGAATGAGGTATAATGTGACAGAAGTTAATCACTCAAAATCTAGAGTACAGTAAGTCCCTGATTTATGACTTATAAACAAGTTTTGTTCCGTGAAAATATTCCTGAAAATATTCGTAAGTCAGGTTTGCTTATAATCTGACAAAATGAGTTTTAAACTATACCTGTGAAAGTTCACAACTCTAATGTTCGTACGTCAAGGACTGTGTCTAAAAACATATAAATGCCTTAACTTTTTTTTTTTTTTTGTACTGGGGATTGAACTCGGGTCCTTGAGCTTGCAAGGCAGGCCACCAAACCGCTGGGCTAAATTCCTGGCCCTACTCTTCTTGAAAATGGTTCCACAAATATCCTTAAGGCATACTCTGCAAAATCCTGTGTAAGGTATGAAATCTAACATTCTCCTACTCACAGAAGGAAGTCAGGAAATAACTTGCACATGAATATAAACATACACGTTAAGCATAAAGTGAAATGTTCAGTGTTTTTCATGAAAAAAAATTAAAAAAGCATGTCAAGCTGTTTCAGATATTAATTTATGTGAACATCTACATAGTCTAAAAGGCGGAAAAGGGAGCAAAAATAACACAGAATGGATAAAAAAAAATTCCTATAGTAAAAATCCTATAAAAAACACAGAGCTCAAACCGGGCGCCTATAATTCCAGCACTCAGGAGGCTGAGGCAGGAGAATCGCTGTGAGTTTGAGACCAACCTGGGCTACATAATGAGTTCCAGGTCAGTCTCAACTACATAGTGAGATCCTGTCTCAACCCCCACCAAAAAAAATAAAAACAGAGCTCAAAAGAGCCTGCTCTATGGATTGATCGAACTAGTTCTGTAGTGACCTAAGCAAATATCAACAAACTATGCAAACAAAAAAATGTACTAGCAGGCTCATTCACAGGATTTTTCCTCTGTCTATATTATGGGAAATTGCTGAATTGCAGCAATTAACAAAATACTTTTAAGAACTTAAGAGATCAGATGAATTTACCATGCTATACAATTTCCATGTGAAGATGACAGAAAGGCACAAGATAAACATGTTAGGCTTAGTTTCTCTTCCTGAATAGCCTCTGCCTAATTTATGTTACAAAGGCACAAATTTCTTTCCCTATCATTTATACTCCATCATACTCTAATGCTTATTTTAGATGAAGAACAAAAAGCTGTATTAAGAATAAAAATGATCAGGCCAAGGATTTACCTCAGTGATGCCTCCGCCTGCCTCCCTCACAAGCACAAAGTCCTGAGTTCAATCCCGAGTACCAAGAAACAAAACAAAAACAAAGAATAAAAATGATCCAGAAGCCAAGTGTGGTGGTATACGCCTGTAACCTTAGCACTTGGGAGGCAGAAGCAGGAGGATGGTCATGAGTTTGAGGCCAGCCTGGGCTATATAGTAAATTCAATGTTAGCCTGCACTACAAAGCAAGATCTCGTCTCAAAAAAAACAAAACAAAATAGCTGGGGATTTAGCCTAGTGGTGCTGCTGCCTGCCTCACAAGCACGAGGTCCCAAGTTTGATCCCCAGTACCAATAAATAAATAAATAAATAAATAAATAACAAAGACTGAAAATTAACCAGATAGAAAAAGGCTTTTACTTCTCCACTCAACATATCTCTAAAACCTTGTTGTACATTCAAGTTTATACTATGCAAATAATAACTGAATCAAAATCAATTTTTTTGTTTTGAGACAAGGTCTCACCGTGTAGCTCAGGCTGGCCTTAAGCTAACTATGTAGCCCAGGTTGGCCTTGAACTCACAGTGATCCACCTACCTCAGCCTCCTGAGTGCTGGGATTACAAGCATGTGACACCATCACCAGCTCAAAATCAAAATTTAACACTTTGAAAATACAGGTATTAGCTAACTACTGTAGATTTTTCTATTTACCTGTAGATTAATAGAAAAATTTTAAAAGTAATCACTGGGGGCCAGGGATGTAGCTCAGTGGTGCCATGCCTGCCCGGCAAGCACAAAGTCCAGAGATCAATCCCTAGTACTGAGAAAAAAAAAAAAAGTATCCATTTTATGTTTAACACACTGACCTCCCTTTTTATTGGAAATGTCTCTCTGTAAAACACTTTAATGCTGAGCCTGGCATGGTGGTTCACACCTGTAATCCCAGTACTCGAGTGGTTGAGGCAGGATCACAAAGCAGTTTGAGGCCAGCCTGGACTACATAGTGAGTTCAAGGCCAGCCTGGATTAAATGGTGAGACCCTGTCTCAAAAAACAAAAATAAAAAAACACACACATTAATACTTTATTCAAAACTCATCAAATAAATTTATTCTACAAAGAAAATTTCTACTTTTACACAAAACGGGACCTCAAGTGCCATTAACTGAGCCAACACAAATACACCATGAGAGCTTTCTCCTTTTTTATCAAGTTGTAACATATAAAGTCTACATATTTCAGGTGTACAGGCCCATGACTCTTTACCAGTTAATTCATCCATATAATGTGTACCCCAATCAAGATAGAGAATATTTCCAACACTCTAGAAAGCTCCATTGTTTTCCCCAAAAGATATCCATTATTTTGACATTTATCATGAAAGATCAGTTTAGCCTACTTTTTAACATTATAAAAATTGAATCACAAAGATCCTTTCTTACAAGTATTTGGCTTCCCTCATCAATTATACATCTGTACAACTCATCTCTGTGACTGCAGGTATCAAACATTAATTCTCTGCCATGTCTATGCTGGTATTCTACATTAAGTATGTCTCAATGAATTTTCCATTCTATTGATAACACAGCTGGGTTATTTCCAGTTCTAAGTTATTAACATTTTTATATATGTTTTTGTAGTGGACAAATGCACCTACTTCTGCTGTGAACATAACACAGGAAGTCACAGACTAAGAATATTTGGCTTTATTAAAAGCTATCAGCTGGGCATGGTGGCGCACGCCTGTAATCAGGAGGACTGCTGTGAGCTCGAGACCAGACTGGGCTACATAGTGAGTTCCAGGTCAGTCTCAAGTATATAGTGAGACCATGTCTTTAAAAACAAAAACAAAAAAAAAGCTATCAGGTGGCCCTGGCAAGCCCTAGGCCCTGAATTCAATTCCCAGAACTAACTACCTAAATAGCTACCAGGTGGTCTGGGGATGTAACTCAGCAGTGCATAATTTGCACAAAGTACTGAGTTCAATTCTCAGTACTGAGGAAAAAAAATCTTTAAAAAAAAATACCAGTTTGTTTTTCTTTTGATGAAGCTGAAAATGTAGAAAGAGTAAGTAAACTTTCCATTGTCATGTGTGTGTAGGGGTACACTGAGTCTTGAAATGCATCTGTTCATTACACGTCAAAAAAGTTGGACACTTCTCTTGTTCCACTGCCCTACCCTGAAAAGGAGACTCTACCAAAAAAAAATTTCTTAGTAATAGAAAAATCTGTTCTTTGCAACCGTTTTTACTTTACACAGAGAAACCAACTATAGGAACTTTGTGCCCAATACATCTTATTTAGTATTCATTATAAATTTTTTTAAAAAAATAGGAGACATCTGAATTGCAATACAAAACTTCAAGATTGGTCATTTATATTTCGTAGGAAGTAAGACCTAAAGTTAGTTTAGTCTGTGGCTACTGAAAAGAAGAAAAAACAGTGAGTCCTAGTTCCTCACCTGTAACCACAGGAGAAGCCTATCAAGACCAAAACACCTTAACTAATCAACAAGTCAATTACTAATATAATCTACAGCATACAAAAGGTGCCAATAATACTCTAAGAATCACAGATTTTCACGTAGGGCAAGAAAGAATCAAGTGGAAGTTCCTGGGACTCAGCAAAGGCTGCTCCCTCGCAGTACCAACTTCTTTGCCACTGTCTCCTCCCCCACCCCAGTGTACCTTGGTCCTCAAGTTCTCAGTCACGGATGTGGCACTCGAGCTCTTCCCTACCATCCACCTCACTGTTCAAAGGATAGTGAGGCACGGCAGGAATGGAAGAGCCGCAGCAGCCACTAACGAAGGCTGGACTGTGTCCAGGTTACTAACACCACACACAATCACCCTAGGTAGTTGGAACCCCTCTGTCCATGGCCTCCCACCTCAAAACCCTGGGGCCACCCGAGAGAACCCGGCCCCCTGCGCAGCCAACGCGACCCCGGCTAGTGCTCTCCTCTAACGAGGTCTACAAGGCCTGAACCCCCGCAGCCTAAAGGCAAACCCGATTGGCAACTCCAAAAGCTCCCTCCCGCGAACACCCACACTTCAACCGCCCACCCCCCCCACGTCCCACCTCCGCGCAGTCCAGCCTGGGCCTCCTCCGCACACTCCACAGAACCGCCCAGCCACGCGAAAACACCCAGCTAGGCGATACTCCACTACTACTCCCCCCAGCACAGACGTCACGCCGGAAGAACTCCTGGCGTCTGCACGCCGCGTCTTGATGTCACTTCCGGTGCGACTCGTAGGAGAAGAGTACGGGAGGTGAGGGTTTGGGCCCCAAGAAGTTTGCGAAGAAGCTGGGGGATGTGGTTACAGCGGGCCCTGCGGATTTCCAGAAATGCGCATGGGTTGCAATCTGCAGACTGCAACCTCCACTACCTGGCCTTCACTCCTAAGGCGCATTCCCCTTGCTGGCTCATTGAAAAGCTCTCCTTCGCATTCTGTCCCAGTTTTAGGTCGGTAGACACTAGCGGAACAGAGACAAATAGGGTCAGATGAGATCCAAAATAGCATTCATTGCCGGCTGAGTAAAGGAACAAAGATATCATATATTAACATTTACAATCATTTGTTACATCTGAAATCTAAAGCGATTCCACAGAGCACAATGACATTTTAAACATATACATTGAATATTATTGTAAAGTAGATATAGAAAGAGTTATACATTCAAGGGAGGAGGGCATTATCACGAAGTGAACTCATGGAATATGCGTTTGGACAAATTTTTATGCATCCAAGAGATACTTTTAGGGTCTGGGGAGTTGGGACAGTTATGACACTTAACATCTTATATAGAAGCTACTTAGGAATTGCAAAATTCATCAGGTATGAATCTTGCAAAAGACAAATTGTGGATTTAAACCAGGTCCCAACCCAAGGCAGGAGGATCTTTAAAGAACATCTCTCCTGTTATCATTGGGCTGCAGGTTATGACATCCAGGAATGTCATAGGCCTTGTTTTGGAAATAGACGGCCATTTATCAGGACTGTATAAATACATACTATTTATCCTTTTAAAGTTTACAGCTCTTCCCATCTTGCAAGATGGCAGGCAAAAATGCTGAGAAGCCAGATACTAAAGAGGAGAAACCCAAAACCAAGAAGGCAAGTTAAAAAGGTAATGTGAAGGCTAAGAAGTCCAAGAAGGGGCACCCTCACTGAACCCAGAACCCTGTCCTCGTCAGAGGACTTGGTAGATGCTCCTGATCTGCTATGTATTCCAGAAAGGCTCTGTACAAGAGGAAGAACGAAGCTGCTAAATCCAAGGTTGAGAAGAAAAAGAAGGTTCTTGCTACTGTCACAAAACCAGTTGGCGGTGACAAGAATGGAGGTACCTGGGGGGTTAAGCTTTGCAAAATGCCTAGACACTACCCTACAACAAAAGCTGTTGAGCCACAGCAAAAAGCCCTCCAGTCAGCACATGAGAAAACTGAGCTAGTGTCACTCCTGGGACCATCTGCAGCATCCTCAGTAGGTGCCAAAGAGGCAAGAGAGTGGTTTTCCCGAAGCACATGGCCAGTGGCTTGCTACTGGTGACTGGGCCTCTTAACCTTAATCACGTTCCTCTACATAGAACAAATCAGGAATCTGTCATTATCACCTCCACGAGAATTGATATGAGCCACGTGAAAATCCCTGGAAATCTCACCAGTGCTTACTTCATGAAGCAGCTGTGGAAGCCCAGACACCAGGAGAGTGAGATTTTTGACATGAAGAAAGAGAGACACTAGAGCAGCTCAAGGTTGATGAGAAAGTGATCAACAGATTGTAGATTTTACCAAAAATCAAACTATTACATGGAGCTACATGTAATCCATTTTTGCTCTGACAAATGAAATGTACCCTCACAAATTGGTGTTCTAAATTTCTTACTCAGATCCTAATTCAATGATTGATACATTTTTTAAAGTGTACAATTCAGTGATTTTTATTATATTCACAAAGTTGTGCCATCATCACCACTAGTTCCAGAGCATTTTCATCTCTCTGTCATAAAGAATAATGGCATAAGTACTACTACTCTCCTATAAAGATAAATATGAGTCATTCATAGAATGATTGTACTTGAGACCATAGTGTTAAATGAAATAAATCAGATACACAAGCTTAAATATCACACAGTTTCTCTTAAATGAGTACTAAAAATATAAAAAAGTACACAATGATAGGTAATAGGAAATAGGGAGATAGATCTGTCTCAGAGGGGAAGAGGATCAAGAGACAGAGTGGGCCAGCCAGGTGTGGTGCCGCACATCTGTAATTCAAGCACTCGGGAGGCTGAGGCAGAAGGATTGCCACAATTTCGAGGCCAGCCTGGGCTACATAGTGAGCTCAAAGATAGCATGAACTTCAAAAAGACCCAGTCTCAAAAAAAAAAAGAAAATGGAGTGAGGAGGGAGAAGGGAAAGGGATTCAGATGTGTTAAGTTGCATGCACTAATTCCCCACAAGGAATGTAATATGCTGCAAATATACCAATAAATAATAAATATATATATATATATTTTTTAAAGCCCTGGACCATTAGTAGTAACTCTCCTTCATTCCATCTCCAGTAACTCAAAACCATGACTCTGCCTTCAGTCTCCATGGATTCAACTACTCCAGGCATTTCCTATAATGAGATTGTGTAATATGTGGCCTACATGTGTAATTCATGTTTTCTAGTGCTCAGAATAATGTTTTCCAGATTCATCCATGTGGTAGCAGCATCTATGCTGTGTTTCTTTCTATGACTGATTAGTATTTCATTGTATAGATGTAACACCTTTGTTTATCCATTTATCACATGGTTTGGGTTATTTAACTTGAGTTATGTAATCCTTTTTTGATATTATAACACACTGTTAGGAACATTCAGGGACAAGTTTTTGTGTGGCCATCTGTTTTTGTTTCTCTTGGGTTTATATCTAGGAGAGAAATTGCTAGGCCATATGGTAACTCTATGCTTCATCGTTTGCAGATCTGCAGAATTTTTCCAAAGCAACTCTGTATATCATCTTACATTTCCACAACAATCAAAGAGTGTTCTTTTTTAGGGGCACTAAAATATAGCACACTTCTCTAAAGACTCTCAGAAGCCTCCAAATGATGTAAGTACAGAGTATTCAGGAGAGACCTTTACAGGAGGGGTAACGGCTTCCCTCTCCATGTGTACTCTGCCAGCTATGGTTCCCACATGGGAATAGTACAACTAGAAAAGGTTCAAAGCTTGCCTCTGACCTGCCATTGCCACATGGGATGGTCCAATAACTAATCCCACAACTGAAGAAGAGAAGATTCTGGTTCAAAATTTTGGCAATGATAAAAACCTGGATATAATGGATTCATGCCTTGCGACCTAATTTTGTCACATACAATACCATTTCTGCTCCACGAGCCCAACAAACTAGTCTAAATTCATTAACCAGAGTGGTCATGGATAATCATATTTCCTCTTAGCCAGTCAAGGGAGAATTTGTGCTATTGCAGACCCTACTAACCGCACATATACAAATACTACAGGGCAAATAGAAAGGTCACCTGGCTCTCTAAAGCAAATCAGTTCGATTCTGGGACATTGCCTGGATTTCGTAATCTAGGCCAGTGATGGTGAACCTATGGCATTCATGCCGCAGCAGACTGTTTATATCACTGAAAGTTCTGTTATTGTCCTTTTCTTTTAATGTAGAGTTGTTTTTTCCAAACCAAAACCTCAGTATTCAGGTTTAACTGCAGCGTTGGCACTTTGCAATAAATAAGTGGGTTCTGGATTGCAGTTTGGGCACTTGGTCTCTAGAAGATTTGCCATCACTGATCTAGGCTTGTTGGCTTCTAGATCTACAAGGACCAAGAGTTTTTTTGGGTTTTTTTTTGTTTGTTTTTGTACCAGGGATCAAACTGGGGTCCCTGCATCTGTGAGGCAGGTGTCAGAACCACTGAGCTAAATGCCTGGTCCCCAAGAGTTATTTTTATTCTGATAACTGCCTGTGTTACAATTTGCCGATACAGTTGATCCAGAAACTTAAGTGCTATTGTGTAGCAGCCATTGTTACTTATGATGGCCCAATAACTTCTATGACGAAGAAAAGATTAATTCCCTAACCCCACCCCCACCGCTGGGCACCTCCTTCCTTCATGGACTTTGGGTAAGCCCTGCTCCCATGAATGGGGTGATGTCCTTATGGATCAGGCCCCTCAACCACTTGGGGAGGCTCTCAAAAGCAGAGACTGTGTTTTGTTCCCTTTATACTTCCAGTGCTGGTTCAGAGAATGCCCTCCATAGATGTGTGATAATCCAAAAAGGAAGACAGTGAAGTGACAATCTTGTCCCCTAAACAAATTGCCTGAGAGCAGTAAATTCACCTCTCCCTTGCCACATCCCACAGGAAAGCCCAACACAAGGGTCAGCCCAAGGTTGGCATGGAGATGTGTGATAGCTTCAGCCAAGATTCAAAAACTTCCCACATGTAGGATTTCTGGGTAACATTTTTATTTAGCTCAGGTGAATGCTTCCAACACATTTATGGACACTTGGGTAAAACTGTTCTCTTTTGCATTAGATGGTTCTTAAGCTCATATAAAATAACTGCAAACATATAAGCACTGTGCAGGCTAGAATAAAAACGTCACTGTGTACATTTAAAAACAGACATTTTGGGGCCAGGGATTTAGCTCAGTGGTTCTGCCAGCTGCCTTGCAAGCGCAAGGACTCGAGTTCAATCGCTGGTACCAAAAACAAACAAACAAACAAAAAATAGACATTTTAAGCCAGGTGTGGTGGTACACACCTGTAATATCAGTACTTTGGGAGACTGAGGCAAGAGATTCACAAGTTTGACCCCAGCCTGGGCAACAAAGAGATTTAGGAAGACTCTCTCTCTCTCACACACACACACACACACACACACACACACCACACACTCAAGAGACTAAGAATGTATAGCTCTGGATAAAGACCCTGAGTTTAATCCCTGGTATCACATACAGAAAAATTTATATGGGGTACAGATAATGGAGACCAGTAAAAGGTATCTGAAAAATTTCTTCATTTCGGCCCTGGCTCTTGGACCTAAAGAGATGCAGTTCCTCTAAGATGCGAGTCACAGCCCCTCCAGGACAGAAACAAAGGTCTTACAAGTCTGGGAGGCAGTTATGTTTATTACTGTCTGGAGGAAGGGCAGACAAATGTGATCCCCCAGGCGTGGAGTCACCAGCCCATGGGATCACATCACTCAGCCTTGGGCGAATAGCAATGCCATCTCTGTGTCTTCCCGGTCTGGCTCTTCCCTTAACTCCAGGCAGTTCCCACAAGGATCAGACAGGTCCTGGCATGGCCTGCTCTGTTTCTTCAGCCAGGCAGTTGCTAGGCCCAGAGACTTGCAGAGAACTCCTCAGACTTTCTCAGAGGCTGAAAGACCTAACCATGCAGGGCTCCTATCAGGCTCCTCTGTGGAAGTTCTCTGGGCTCCCCTGTGCCTCTGCTGTGACCACTGTCTGTTTTCAGTAAGCAGAGTGGCAAGTTGGGGTAGGGGGCTGGCGTGATCCTCTAAGATCTGTGAGTTTCAGTCTGAAGTTCAGATGCCTGGACCAGCAGCACCCAAGTCTAGTACCCACACAGACCAGGTAAACAGATCTAGGCTTCGGGGCACTTGAGGACAGAAGGACGTAGCTGTGCCTGGAAGTGATTGCATCGGGGATACTTCATAGTCAGACCATAGATGGGGGTCATGTCCACCTGCACACCTGGTGATATGCTGAATTCCAGCTGCTGCAGCAGGATAGCCAAGAAGAGGAAAACCTCCCAGCGGCCAATGGTCTCCCCAATGCACCGGCGCTTGCCCAAGCCAAAGATAATCACCTTCTCACTCAGTGCCTTGTCCACAGTGCCATCAAGAGAAAGAAAGCGTTCAGGTCTGAACACAGATGGGTCACCCCACAGCTTCCTGTAATAAGAGGAAGGCAGCTGAAGGGACATCTTGGGGCTCAGAAGCATTAAGTGGGTTGAGCCCCAAAGGATAGGGATAGGAACCAGGGATTTAGCTCAGTTGTTCCATTGCCTGCCTTGTAAGCGCTAGGTCTGGAGTTTGATCTCCAGTACAAAAAAAGAAAGAAAGAAAAAAAAAAGAAGAAAAGATACATCATCAAAGGCTCGGGATGGGAAAATGGCACATAGCCAGAAGGCTCTGAGCCCAAGGGAGGGTGGCCCAGCCCACCCAGTAGTTTCCGCTGCCCCTTACAACTTACTTGTCATGGTTAATCTGCCACTGGTTCACAAAGACACAGCGCCCTTTGGGGATGTAAAAGCCACTCAGACTTGTGTCTCTTACGGTGCTGGGGAAGGAGAAAGCAGAGTGAGGCTCAGGGTCACAGAGGAATTCCCCCATCTTCCATGCCATGTTCCTCCCTGGTCTCTCATTGATGTGTGGGCTACAGCAAGGCCCAGTGTCAGACAACAGGGACCCGGGCAGCCTTACCTGTGTGGGATGGTGAAGGGCACGAAGGAGGAGTGTCGGAAGACCTCCACGATGAAGGCTTCCAGGTAAGGCAGCTGGGTTCGATCAGTGAGCCGGGGCTGCCGCTCCCTGCCAATCACTGTGTCTGCAGAGCACAAGATCCAGATGGACTAAGGGACTGTCCAGGCCTTGGAAAACCCCTTCCTGGATCCCTGTGGATGCAGCCACCACCTACCCAGCTCCTCCTGGATCTTTCTCTGTATACTTGGGTTCATTACCAGGTACAGGAAGCTCCAGGAGATGGCAGTTGTGATGGTGTCAAAACCTGGTCAGGGTAAAATATAGGGAGAAGTAGTTAGGCAGGTGACAGATCAGGACATTCAGATACAGAAAGGGAATAATGGGCTGGGCCGTACCAGCTCCAAAGAGGTCAAAGACAATGCTAATGATCTTGAGGTCTGAAAGCTGAATATTGGCGTTCTCATCCAGCTTCCTCTCCTGACAGTGCTCTATCAGGCTGTCTGTGATGTCCCGGATGTGACCCTGGGTGGGGAAGACACACAGATGAGCAGATCCCAAGCCCAGTACCACCTCCACCCCCTCCCATCCTGGTCCCTCACTGTCACTATCACCTTTGTTCAAAAGGTTAATACCTCAGTCAGTTGCTGTCCCAGCTCGAGCCTCCCCAGGCTCTCTGCTACCTTAAAATATGAGGGGCACCCACCACACAGTTTTATGCTATTATTGAATGTGCTCTTTAGCCTTTCTCTACCATGAAACTAGGAGACAAACTCTTAACTCTCTCCCATCCCCACAACAACTGGTCCAAGGTTCTGCATGGAGTGACTTTAAGGGGCTCTTGCTGACAGAAGCCTAGAAGAAACAGTTCTACTTCCCTGGTGAGGATGGTGCCCACTCCATAACAGCTTCCAACTCCAAGGGTGGAGCCTCCCTGAGAACCTGCCCCACCTCACACTATTTCTCTCACCTCTGACCTCCCATCCACTGACACTATTTGCCTCCCTGGCCCAACTGCCTCTCCCCAGCCTGCACCTTCTCAAATGTTTTGTAGTGCTCCTTGACCATCTTCTGTGTGAAGACAGAGAACTTCCTATTCAGTTCCTTGAAGTTATCCATGGCAGAGTTAGGCAGGTATTGGAGAATGGGGATGAAGTCACCTGGGTTTCCAGAGGCAGTCACTTTCCCAAACTCATTATTTAGATTAACTAAATCAAGGAGCTCTTGGTTGTCATGGTCGTAGCGTCGCCCAAAGCATATGGCAGAGATGACATTGGCCACTGAGACCACCATATATCTGCAGAGGTCAAAGTGCCCATGCCCCTCCATGAGCTCATGGAACTTGTTGATTAGGTACTCGGCCTCCTTCCTCACGTGCTCCTCCAAGTAGCAGGAGGACACAGAGGTCGGATCTGAAGCCACCGAGAAACTCTTCAGGGCGTCCTGTGCCAGGCGCCGGCGGGCGGCCCACACGGGGCCCAAATCTGGGTTGAAGGTCATGCTCTGGCCACCAGAGATGAAGGTGAAGCTGTAGAGGTCGGGCCGGCCCTTGAAGTCATCGCCCTGCCGCACCAGGGCCTGGCGGATGGTGTCCAGGCCGCTCAGCACCACCACTGGCGTGGAGCCGATGCGGATCTGCAGCACGTCCCCGTAGCGCTTGGCCAGCCTGGTCAGAGCCAGGTGTGGGTTCTTACCCAGGGTCAGCATGTGCCCGATCAGTGGCCAGCCCCAGGGTCCCGGGGGGCTCTTCAGGCCTTTGGGAACCTGAGGCCTAGAGGCTCTGACTACCCAGAGTACCAGGCAGAAGATGGTGGCAGCCAGGAGCAGCTCCGTGGCCGAGATGGACATCAGGAGTTCAGGCACAGAAAACATGATTAGTGTCAGGATCTTCAAGGCAGATGCTGAGAGGTGGGACAAGAAAAGAAAAATGAGACCATCAGATGGAGGACAAGAGGAGCCAACATCATAAAAACTCAGGGAAAAGAGAATGTTCCCAGCCAGAACTGCTGAAAGACAAGAGGGACAGGAGGAGGTGGCAGAAGTTGTTGAGCTGTCAATGTGTTCCAAGAATTTCAGCCCCTCCTCACTGAGGGTCAGAGGGGGTAAGCAACTCACTCAAGGTTGCACAGCCAGGAAGTAACTACTTCCAGAACACCGTCTCTTAACTTCTGTACAATCTAAAACAGTATTCCAATCTCAGTCTCTTTTCACATATCATAATTATCATTTACTTCACATTTTCCAAAACTCAGCTTTAAATTCATCCTAGTAGCATCACCTGGAACAATAACTATGTGAAAGTGTAGCTTTGATTTTCCCCAACACATTCAAATAAATGTATAATCAACACGTATCACCCCAGGGCTCTTTGAGTCTTACCCACCCATGCTATGGGAAGGAGGAACTTAGGGATCACCAGCTCCTTGGCCTCATTTCACATTTCAGGGACACTGATCAGAACAGTCATTGACTTGCCCCAAACCACTTTCCAGTTGTTAACAGAACAAGGACTCAGTCTCTAGGGAAATTTCCAAGAGTGGCCAGCTGCTACCACAAGTACCTCCTTTTGAAGATCAAGAAACAATCTCCCCAGAACCTCTGCTGTCTACACTTAATCCCAAAACCTAAGGAATCCTACCAAACAGGAAGGCCACCGCCCAAGCCACTCTACTCTCAGCCCCCCTTTAAGAGTTCAACAGACACACCCTTTAAAAGCAGCTACATTGAACTCCCAACAGAAATCCAGGCCAGATTTTTCACAGCGCTCAATTCTTCATGAATGAATAGTCCCAGTTTCCCTTTTCTACCAGTCAACAGGCAGCTGAGAATAAATGGAAGGTTCCCAACAGGCCAGGGCTATAATGAAATTCCAGACTGGATTATCAAAAATTAGGAATGGATCTGAATTTAAAAGACACTGAGGTGAAACTTTCTAGGCTGGACCCAGAAAGGATGTTCAAATCCATGGATCACTGTCTACAAGGTATTAGGCTCTGCCTGGGGCATCTACCTCCACTACCCTGGTGGTCAGAAGAGCCAATTTCTCATTCAAGTGGCCTCGGATTGGTCATTTTCTCTTTCTAGGCTCAGGCTGCATAATCTGAAAGCAAGGGTGGGACAAGATCTCACACAATTCAAGAGACCAGCCAGGAGAGAAGAGAAGACCCAGACACAAGACACACCAGATCTCCAAATCCCTGAGAGAGCCAGGGGCATGTCACATGGCAGGTGGGGAGAGTTTTCAGGGACTTGTGATTCCAGCTGCCTGCAGCCGGCCATCTATCACACTGATCACCTCCCGGCAAAGGACAAAGGACTCAGTCCCCTCCGCTGACAGAGGGGCTGCACAGGCCCCCAGCTTCCTTCAATCTCCCTGGTGGCCCTAGTGGGAAAGCCTCAAGGTGCTACCCAGGGGTACCCTACCCAGAGTCACCTGGGATGGTGCTGGAGCTTGGGGCTTGGAGTCCCAGAAGGGGGTGGGTGGGGCATCTATGTCTAGAGCTTTGGTACTTGATAGGGAACCTCAGGCAAGACCTGCTCTTCTTCTGGCCTCAGTTTTCCCACTAGAGGGTCAGGCTGCCTGATCACTAAAGATGTTCTTAGCCTTCTGTTTTGGAGGTGATAGTCCAGTGACTTCCTGGAAGACTTGTAATCCTCCAAATTTCCCTTTTATTGGGAAGAAAGGAGCAAACCAGAAGTGCCCCACACTCACCTGTGGCTGTGAGGTGCTAAGCTGAGAAGAGCAGTCTCTGGGGCAGGGACCCCAGGAAAGATGGGAGGCTCCAGATTCTGTCACCTTCAGACTGAGGGTGAAGGCACCACCTTTATAGGAGACTGCATGTGCCCGCCTCCTTCCCTAGAGCCCTAGGACAGGGGTGGGGGCTGAAGAGGGACTGGAGGGTGGTGGCTCTAGGGGTGGGGTGAGGAAAGGACCTCATCTAGGTGCTGACACGGAACAGGATGAGGGCTGGGGGCAACTAGGGCCCCCACTTCCAAATGCTGCACCCGTGTGCAGTGCAGAAGACACCAGGGAGGGCGAAGTCGAAGAACAAGAGCGTGAGGAGCGGATGGAATGGGAGACACCGGCCTTCTCTCCGGCATTTCTGCACCCCCACACTACTGGGAGTGCACCTGCCAGGCAGGCAGAGCAGGGCTATCACCAAGTCCGAGTCCTGGCTCGCGTGAGAAGCCGGCGACCCTAGCCCCAAGTCATAGGTGGAGTCACTAAGGCCCAGTCCCCCTGCCACGGCGCCTCTAGGGTCCGCTCAGGGCACCCACGGGGGGCGGGGGCTGCAGGGCTGCGAGAGCTGAGGTTAGGGACAGAGAAATCGGATGGTGGGGTACAGAGATGGGGAGGGGACACCGGGACAGAGGTCGCGGCGGCGCAGTGCCCGATTGCGTGAGAAGCGCCCTAGGCTCGCGGGACTGGGCTGTCACGCGAAGGGGGTGGGGACGCGGGCGCGGCCCTTAAAGGGGGGAGGCAGGAGCCTGAGAGTCCCGGGGGCGCGATTGGAGGTGGCTGGCGGGGGTGGGGAGGAGGCTCGCGTGCAGAGCGGGCTGCTGCCTGGATCACAGCCTGCGCTGTCCACGGTCCCCTCCCGCGGCGGGTCACGCAGCCCGCACTGCCCTGCACGCCTGGCTGCCTGCCTGCCTGGTGTCCCCACCCCTGCTAGTTGCCCGTGCAAGACATCCAGGGAGAAAGGCTGCATTCGCGCGTCCAGCTCAACCTGTGCCCAACTCTCTTTAGCAGCCAAAGGCACCGCCACCTGTCCCCTGGCCCAGCCCAGAAAGATCTCCTCCGCCCTGGCCCTCCCACTGCAGTTGGCTGCCTGGGCACTGCACAAATATTTACCAAGAACCCACTGTGCGCCAGGTGCTGGTGAGCAAAACAGATGAGAGCAGAAATGATAATGCTCCTCTACTGGCCGCTTGCTTATATTCCTGTGGGGGACATGCATTATATTCCACAAAAATACAAAGAACAGAACAGCAGAGAAAAGGAATAGCTATAGAAAGAGACTTAGCAGAGAAAGGGTAAAGTTACAAGAGGATGTAACACAATTTCAAAGAGGGTTTGCTGGATTTGCAGAAGTATGGCGTCAAGAACCAAGGTACTCAGGTTGAGAGAGCCCCTGGGGGAGAGAACAACAGGTTCAAAGGCCCTGGGGCAATATCACTAGAAGCAGTGGGAATGTGCAGAGGTCCCAGGACCCGGGATCTTCCCAGAATGTAGTGTCCAGGGAAATGGGATGCCTGTAGGGAACCTGCCATCCCCCCTGTTACAGAGTGTACCCCATTGGGAAACCTGAGACTATGTGACACTGAGATGGTGCTGGGGTTGAACCCAGGAAGATCACACTGGCCACTCTGCTGAGGTGAGAAGGAAGGTTCAAGGGCACTCTGCTCTATTCTGAGGTCTGTCCAGCTCCATGACACCACACTTGGGGAGCCCTGTCAGGGCCCCTAAATCATCAGTGGGCAGCAGAAACAAACAGACAAGGCTTTGCTCACTCCCTGATCTAAAACAGCTTCCAAACTGGGTTCCTGTTTGTCTCTTGTCCCTTCCAATCCCTTCTCCCTGCTATGGCACCCAGACTGTTTTTGTTTGCTTGTTTGTTTGGGGGTTGTTTGTTTTATCAGAGACAGGATCTCACTATGTACCCCAGGCTGGCCTTGAACTTGTGGCCTGCCTCAGCTTCCTGAGTCTTCGGATTATAGGCATGTACCACAACACTCACCAGGACTGATCTTTTTTAAAATGCAAGATAGCTTTCTGTCACCACCTGTTTACCCCTCTGGAATCTAAGGATAGAGAAGGAACCTTTCACAGAACCTACCAGCTTTCCCACCTCTATTTTGCCCTTACTTTGAGTCTCATATAAAATAACTCTTCCTCTGGTATTCCGCTCCGATCCTCTCCACAGCAAGTTAGCTTCCTCCTGGTCTGTTTCTTTTCTCCAAGGTACTTCTCAAGACATTTGAGCCTGCCTGTGTCCCAGATGCCACCTGCCACTTGTCCTTCCATGCCCTAACATGGAAAACCAACCTGTGAGACACTGATCTGATGCAACAGGTCCTGGCAAAGGAGAGCAGTTGATAAAGGAGTTAGAGACTGCTCAATAGAGATGAGTCTCAGAGCAAGAGTGACACACTGGACCCAACAACTGGTGCTCAGATGGTGGCCTTAGGCAGCAGAACAGGACACAAGGAGGTACTGCTGTCTTTCTCAGCCTCCTTCCGATCATTCTGCTCATGGCATCGCTGACTCACCTGATAAGTCTTACAGCCCTCAAGAGAGGTCTGTGCTTCAGGCCCAGGTGGGGCGAGAGCCACGGAAAGTAGAAGAGAGCAAGGTACTCCTAGGTACCCCAGCCTGCTCTGCGGCCATGTTTCCCTCACCTTCCCAGAGTCCCCGCCCCTTCACTAGCTGGGGAGAATCCCAATAGGGCTAGAAAAGCCCTCCTGTGCTGGTCACCCCAGCAGGCATCCAGAAGACCCCCCCCCACTCGGTAGAAACGCGTGTCTTTTCCCAGAGTCCTGAAGGGGCATTGATGCCAAAGGAATGCCTTAGCTAATAAAGCCAGTGCCTCTTCCTCTGCTCAGCTGGAAAGATGTCAGAAAGGTTAAGCCTGATGATGCCCAGCGAGCCAACGTGGAGTCTGGAGCGCTGGCGCCTTGATTCGAGGTAGGTTTTCCAGCCAGGCTGCAAAGGGAGTCCCAGGGGGCCACGGGAGAGCAGGCTCAGGCCTGGACCAACACCTCCATTTCCCCAGACCCTGGGGCAGGAGTGGGGTGCACTGGGGTCTCAGGAGACCTTGCCCTTCTCATCACCAAGCCTTGTCTGGGCTGCAGCTGCAATGACCGGAGGAAGCCTCTCTGAGCACTGTGCAGAGAAGGAGGTGATGGGCAAGAGGCTTGAGGACCTTGGCCTGGAGCTGAACTCCCAACGCTGGGTCAAAGTTTGCTTGCCTTGCGTGAGAAGCTCTTTGGCTGGGATTCCATAGTGATTGATCCCCAGGGCAGGGGCAGGGGCAGAGAGGGCTCTGGGCTGCTGGGGGGATGTGGACAGCTAAGAGTCTCTGCCTGGCAGAGTCCTCAGGCCCAGAGCCTTTGGTCAACACTGCTGGGCGGTGTGTGGCAGGGGCCCGAGAAGCAGTGAAGACCCATAACAGACTCCTATTGCATGGCAGAAACAGGAGCTGTACCCCAAGCCGAGCCTGTGCTGCGCCTGGAGAGGCCAGAGAGACTATGAGGGGAGCCCTGGGGTAATTATGCCTGTCGTCCTAGCATAATCATTAAAAGGTCCTAGCTTGGTAGTAAGTTATGCAGTCACCCCAGGGATAGCAGGGATCTAAGAGTTTCCCTTTGCCCTTGTGGTGACACCACACCCACTGTTCTTCAGGGGTCACACGACCTACTCTCAGCCAACAGGTTTGGAGGGCCAACCCCACCATAAGCCAGGCCAAGGAGAACCCTATGGAGGTTTTGATGAAGTCATTGAATGAAAGAAGTTCTTCTGGGGGTGAGGGAGGTCGTGCTGGTTAGAAAATAAATCTGGAGCCAGGTGTGGTGGCACACATCTGTAGTCCAGTACTCAGCAGCTGAGGCAAGAGGGTCACCATGAGTTCAAGGCCAGCTGGGCTATACAATGAGTTTGAGGCCAGCCTGGAATACAGATCAAAACTCCCTATCTAAAAAACAAAAAAGTTTGGAGCTGCCAGTGACCAGTTTTTAAGAAAGCCACTGAGGGGAGAGAGCAAGGGGAAGAACTGATGGCGTGCGCCTAGAACTACCTATTCCTGAACCCATAGAACATCACAGTCACATGAACAAAATCACTGCCCCTTTTCCTCCTCTCTTTCTCCTCCTTTCACTTTTTCCTCACCTCTTCCTCTTCCTCTTTTTTCTCCTCTACTTCCTCTTCTCCTTTTCCTTTTGTACTATGAGTTAGATTTTGAGAATTTGTAACTGCAAATAATTATAACCCAAATCTGCCAGCCTGAGAGTCATAGCCTCCCATGCTCTAAGGCTGGGCACCTGATACACACCCCAAGAAGACCCACCCAGGTGAGACAGAGTCCTAAGACATTACTCCTGTTAGCCAGACATGTGGTGCACACCTGAAATGCCGATACTCTTAGAAGCTGTCAGCAAGTGCCTAAGTTTGAGCCCAGCTGGGGTAATTTAGGAACTGAGTGAATCTGTCTGCAAATAAAAAAATTTAGAGCCAGATGTAGTGGTGCACACCTGTAACCCCAGCACTCAGGAGGCTCAAGGCAAGAGGATTGTCTTGAGTTTGAGGCCAGCCTGGGCTACATAATGAGACCTTGTCTCTTAATTAATTAACTAAAAGGGGCTGGGAATGTAGCTCAGTGGGAAGGGCCTGGGCTCAATCCTCAGAACCAAGATAAAATTCTTTCTCACACTTTCCACCCTCCTGCCCCTGTGTGAAATGTGGAAACAGAGTCTCCAGAGCAACCATATGGGGTTGGGTTGCTGCAGGGCAAATACCTCTGGCATGGCAGAGTTGACTGGTCACTCTGTGCCTGTCACTGTGCCCATGTGCCTAGAGCAGGGGCCAGGGTGGCCCCCGAGGAAGTGGGAGTTGGGGGACTTGCTTTAGTGGAGAGAGGAGCGTGTTTGTTACTAACATGTCACAGTGTTGAGACCCGGGTAGCATCTTCAGCTCGAAGCAGCGTTTCCCCGGAGGGCTTGCTGGTGGGGAAGAAGTAGTTGAGAGAGGCTTGGGGTTGGAGGAAGGAGGCTGAGAAAGACACATGACGACACAGCACGTGGGGATGTGCAGAGG